CAAAGTTTCTTTTGAGAAATCAGCTGACCATCTTACGGGAACTCCTTTGTAAGTAACTCTCTGCTTTTCTCTTGTTGCTTTTAAGATTCTCTATCTTTAACTTTAGGCATTTTAATTATGGTGTGTCTTACTGTGGTCCTCTTTGAGTCAAACTTGTTTGGGACTCTCTGTGCTTCCTGGACTTGTATGTCTATTTCCTTCACCAAATTAGGGCAGTTTTCTTTCATTGTATTTTCAAATAAGTTTTCAATTTCTTGCTTTTCATCTTCTCCTTCCAGCATCCCTATGGTTCAGATGTTGGCACGTTTGGAGATGTCCCAGAGTCTTCTGATTCTCTCCTCATTTTTTTGAATTCTTGTTTCTTCATTCTCTACCGGTTGACTGTTTGTTTCTTCCTTGTGTTCCAAATCGTTGATGTGAACCCCAGCTTCCTTCCCTTCACTGTTGATTCCCTATGGATTTTTCTTTATTTCATTTAGTGTAACCTTCATTTCCTCCCTTATGTGTTTGCTGTAATGAGTGAGATCTCTAAGCATCCCGATCACCAGTGTTTTGAACTCTGCACCTGCTGGGTTGGCTATTTCCATTTCACTTAGTTCTTTTTCTGGAGTTTTGATCTTTCGTTTGGGCCATTTTTCTTTGTCTCTTCAATTTGGCATCCTCCCTGTATTTGTTTCTATGTATCGGGTAGAGCTGCTTTGACTCTATCTTGGTGCACCTGATACATAATAAGGGGCGGAAGTTTTAGGCATTTGCCAGGGTGAGGCAATCCACTTTGGCACTTTGTGGTGCTGTATGTGGGGAGGGGTCTGAGAGGGAACAATGCTACTTTTTCTGCTCTTGCCTGGTTTCTAGTCACTTCCCACATACAACTGGCGCCCTTCTAGTTGCTGCCCTTGTGCTGAATCCCAGAGCAGGTGGGTTTGCATGCAGTTCCTTTAAATGAACTCCCTTGAGAGACTGGCAGTTTCTTCTGCCACCCCAACCTCTACTGGCTTTTACAACCAGAAATTATGAGGCTTTAATTCCCCAGCTCTGGAACTCTGGGCTGCGTGGTCTGCCCTGGGGCTGGAATGGCTAGCTCCCTAGGTGTCCTTCCCGGTTTTCATCTGTCACAGGTGAATGTGGGACCATTCTTCTGGAGGCTGGTGGTTGCCGTTGTCACTGCCTCACTTCTACTATCTTCAAATCCAGAAAAACCTCTAGATTGGTGTTTCCAGAAAATACTTATTCTGTATCATTTGTTCTTTATACAAACTCCTTCTGGTTTTCATGTTTTATCCTACATTGTACCACCAGGCTAATTTCTGCACTACACTCTTACTCTCTTTTTACTCAGTGTCATACAACTTAGCACTCGTTAATGTCCTAGTGATTCCATGTGTTTGTTTTCCTTGACTAGATATGCTGGGGACTCAACTTGCACCTTATAGTTCCTCGGTATTTCCCACAACGACAGCAGTCGATGAAGTCTGTGTGATCAGTTTTGTATAAATAACATACAATTACTAATAGTTATAACTTTAAAACCACATTTGTCCATTATTATTCTATGAGGAAATCAAATGGATTTTCATACAATTTGATGAAAGGAGGGATCAGGTAATGATGCTATCCATTCTACAACTGACAAGGTTGTGATAAAAGGTTTCATAAGGTCACAATTTATCTGTGACATGCTTCAAAAATAATTTATACTTTACATAACCTTTTTTAAGTAATTCATGACAAGAATTAAAAAAGGAAAATATCTTCTCCTGGCATTTTAAACTTGAACATGGAAATGTAAAATTGTTATAAAAACGAAATCAGAATACAGTTGACTATATAGTATGTACTTTTATGGTTAACTGTATATGTATAATTCAAATAATTTATTCTAAAATCAATATAGGTGAAGTTATATCTATCTTAATGATTATACTGCTTTTAACTGTCTGCAAATACGAGTGTTAAAGTGGTATAAATTTAATAGTCTTAATGCTAAAAATATTATTTCCTAAAAATAGTTTGTTAAATGGTTTAAGAAATTCAAAGCAGGAAATTATTAAACACTTTCTCATCACAAAATCATTTCAGGAGACTAAAAAACAATGAGAAATATATTTGATTACTAATAAAACTAAACTCTAAATTACACTTCACACTTTTAAACTAGGAATAGGCATAGTCTATAAAACTAACTTCAAAAGACAATTTTCATTCAAAACATCTATAGGTAAGTCTTTAGGGGTGTCCAACCCATGGTCTGCGGGCCACATCCAGCACAGGATGGCTATGAACGTAGCCCAACACAAAATTGTAAATTTACTTAAAACCCTTTTTTTGTTCATCAGTTTTCATTAATGTTTGTGTATTTAATGTGTGGACCAAAACAACCCTTCTTCTTCCAGTTGGCCCAGGGACACCAAAAGGTTGGACACCCCGTCTTAAATATTCTGAATTCGTAAGTGGAGAGAATTACTTTTAAAGTATTACAATATATGGGTCATTAGATCAACAACATGAACTAAGCTCTGGTAATGATGACAACCTATAAAACTCATTATTCATCAGAGGGAAAATCCAAGCTCAGACTGCATATTCTGAAGTCCTTTATGTTGTTGCAGTTGCCTTCCTGATTTCTAAACCATTGACTTTCTGGAGAAATAAAGATCCCTTAAGAAGAAGACAACAATACAAATTCTAAATTTAATAAATCCTAAATTTGCCATGGCTGGGGCGGGCAGTGGGGAGATTTATATTAGTTGAGGAGGAGCCACAATCAAAGACTGAAGTTCAACTAAGTACCAATACTGAGAAACTTTTTGCACTCTTTTTCTAAAGGTTAGAGAACATTATATTATGATCAACTGGTACTATTTTAGAGATAAATATATGGGGGAAGTTACAAATAGAAATTTAGGCACATGTTATCTTTAGAGCCACCACGCTGGGGGATGCACAAAAGAGGGCCCTGAAGAGAGCTTGTGGAAGTGGTTTATTTATTTTGCAACTAAGAAAGGGTTAAGGGGATCCTTCTAAATTTTAGCTTGTGCACCAAATTTTTAATTTACTGTGACATTAGAGATCTTTAGGAAAAAACAGATATACCTATTTTTAGAAGACCTAGCTAACAGTCCTGTCTAGAAACTGAGGAAGTGAATTGATAATGTTAAGTGGTCTCTCAATGGTCCTAAAGATGTGGGGACTAACTCAGACCTGTGAGCAGGTTGGAGGTAAAGTTAGTTTGTTAAAATATACCACATCGGGAATGTGCTGGTAAGTAAAAGATCTACTTTAGGAATATCTTCTTGATCATAGAAATCAAGTACAAAATATGACAGGACATAAAAAATAGTAAATTCCACTGGAAATTAAAAGCAGACGCATTTGTATAACAGCTTAAGAAAACAGTATTGTCAGGTCACTGTAAATTACAAAAAGAATTTTGTATATATTTTATCATGCAAATTCCTTTTTTGCATTGAATAATTCACTAGTGAGGGGCATTCCTCTCCTTTCTCCCCCATTTCCCCCACATATATATACACACAAACTTGCTTATTAAATTAAAATGCAATAAAGTCTACTTAAAAAGGATTGCCTTTTTGGGATGCTCCACTGCATATTTTAAGATGCCTGACATGTTCCGACTTACCCAGTGCGATTGTAAGGGTGGAGGCAATGAGACACACCTCATACTATAGGTGGTAGGCATGCCCTCCAGTCAAATAATTTTGTGCTTGCTTTTAAGGTGAGTAATGGTATTGAGAAGTACAATTTGAGCTGCACTAACTTTAAAGCTTTCTGTGGCAAATATGTATTCAAGTTTTAAAGTCTGATTAAAACTTTTATGAAAACAAATTATGAATTTTTAAATAATGCCGTTCTTTTCAATAGTATCCTAAGTTGAATTTAAAAAGTATTGTGGTTCTAAAAATATCAAATAGTCTTTGGAAAGTGATAATTTATGACAGTTGAGGAGGTAACTAAATAGTTATCTTCATGAATAAAGGTACACAAGTTTTAACAAAAAATAAGGTGAAACAAGAGTCCATTAAATGACAAACAAAATCAGTCACATTATAACAAGAATTTAAATTGACACAGTATATTCAATTCCATAAAACAGTCATAATTATTAGTATGACTGATGTAACTTCAATTACATGTATCAGTAGAATATGACTAATGGTTCTTTCTGTCACAAGCAAGTAAATTTTTCTACACAAAGAGTATTTTTTAAGTCTATCAGCAAAGATGAGGCATTTATCCATTATTTTGTGATCAGTGGACACTAATTGTTATGATTATGTCCTAAATCTAGTTTCATTCAACAAATAACTCCTTGTCTAGGTCCTAACTGTGCTGTACAATAGAAATTTCTGTGATGGAAATGTTCTGTATCTAGACTGTCCATATTACTAACATGTGACTAATGAACACTTAAAATGTGGGTAGTATAATTGAGGAACTGAATTTTTAATTTTATTAAATTTTAATTAAGTTTATACTTAAATAGCCACAGGTCACTCAAGGCTACCATGTTAAGCAGCACAGCTTAGCAGCTTCAAAGAGTAAGAGCAAATGTCTTATTATGTTAGGTCTAACTCTAGTCTGTTTGTTGATTTCCATAAGCATGGCATTCACAAATGTTTGAGTGGTATGCCAAAAAAAGCCTTCCCCTATGGTTTTGTCTTCATTCAAAAATATGATTAAATCTATGCCAGTAAATATCTAGTACAACATTCGGACAACACCAAATAAAAAATACCATCTGAAAACATTTTTATTAGTGCTTACAGTGTGTCAGTACAGCTACCCTGATTAATGAGGTAACCTGGTGGCCTATGTCAATCTGTCTAATGTTAGTTCTAGAATGACTAGAATTCAAACTATGAAATATCCACTCCTAAAAAGTTTTTGTCCATTACCTATCATAACACAAGAATACCAATTACCGCATAGTTTTCAGCTCCATTGGTTAAACACTGCGAAAGCACGTCAAACCATTTTACCTGACAGACATATTTGTTCTTCCATTTGCTCAGCACACACTGACTGTTTTGCATCAGCTCCTGAAGGAAACAGAAAAAGAGAGAGTGCAGTTGGCTATGCACACTGTCGTTATCAGTTAAAGTGCCTCTGATTTGCAAGCAAAAAAAAAAAAAAAAAAGTCAGCATGCCACACAAAGATGCAACTGTTTTTAAAACTCCTCACTGGACAAAAGCAAAGCTATCATCACCAGGAGAGTTGATCCTTTATGAAAATTAAAGCTGTTGAGAGATGTTTTAAAACAGATTTGTTTGTTGCCATTTTTGAAACTTTTGGAAAGATACCTCCAACTCTTTGAGTGAGTCTCGAAGTTTTTCTGGGCGTCTGTTTTTGAGAGTCCACGGATAATCTCGTGCTGGCAAATAAAACATGTACTACAGTTAGTTAAACATGACTTAAAAAGGAAACTCTTCTTAGCAGTGTTCCTAAGGAAGATTAAAATAAAACACCTCCTTAATTGAGAGGAAGTGGGCTTCATTTCCATCATCAAATGACAGCCTTTTGAAAGGCTTTGTCATTGGAACAGAATTTTTACCACAAAACAATCTCCCTGATCATAATTTTATGATGACAACCAACAAGGCTTGGAGAATCCCTGGGAAAGTTTCCTAAGCCTGTGAACCTAGTATTTAAAGGTAAATGACCCACTCTATAACAAAAAATAACATTTTCATATAAATAATGAAATGTTCAATCCAAAAAAATTTCAAAATTCCACAAGTAGACTTCTCAGACCTGAAAATTCCTAGTGAGTAAATATAGTGAGGAAAGAAGTAAAATACAAAAAATGATGCACAGAAAAATAAATTTTAAACTAAGCAATACAGTATCACATATTAAGACTAAGGAAAAAATTTAGAAAAATCCAAGTTTTAACAAATTATGTACTAATAGTTCCCTTTTTTATGTTAAATAATACTCTTTCAAATCTACACCACAATTCAATAATGATAAAACTTTGTTGTGTTTTAAATACTTTTAATTAAAACATAAAATTATTTAGTAGTCTCAACATTAGCCTAAATCAAACTAAAAATAGTTTTGTTTAAAAAATTAACAAGATGCTAAATTGATTATAATATCTATTTCATCACAATAATGAATTAATCTATGAATTCTCTTAATTTAAATGAGTTCTATATATGTGTGTGTGTGTTTTGTGTGTATATACATATATAGTATTAATACACAGACATTAAAATTTTATAGCATAATTGCTATATATCTTATTTCAGCAAATTAATTTTATTTTATAAACAAAATTTATGTTAGAGCATATAAGCAAATTTTAAAACCTATGTTACAGCTACTAATACAGTATTTTTAAAAATGAAATACCATTTAAAACAAGAGAGCAATTAGGATTTTTCAGCTCTACCTATATTCCAAACAAAATGTAAACTATATTTAAGCCATTAAAACCATATTACATTGTAGCAATATTACATTAACATATTTATATATTTTAGAACAGAAGACTAAAGAGAATAAAATGCAAATACTGATCATTACAAATCTTATTTTCTTAAAATAGGTAAAACAATGATTTAGGCATAGGACAAATAATAAAATGTCCTCAGAATTTAAGCATGATACACTTATTTTAAATATACTGAATAATATAAATATTCTTTATGAATATTTATAAGAAAGTTTGTTTATATAAGCATAAAAAAACTGGATAGAGATTTCAATGCTCTAAATTAGAAATGCCTAACAAATACAATTCTTACTCATATGTTTATATACCTAAACAATGGAAATTTATAATTATAAGAAATTTAGAAGGAATAAAATTTCTTACTCATGCAGAAAGCTTAAAATATTTTTTAAAACTGAATCTTCAAGGATATTAAAATTCCAGTTTCATAATAATTTCATAAACTATATAAAGTAAGCTTACATTCTGCCAGCTTCTGCTTTTCTTCTAAGTTACCATGCTCTGTTGCTGATACTGTGGTAGAGAGTTGGAAGGAAGGAAAAAAAAGTAGAAATTATTTTTTATTATAACATATTTTTATATGCACATAGATCTTGTATTATTATACACATCATTGAGATTAATAAATTATGCTAAACTTTTTTAAAAGCAATGGAAAACAATGCCATAATTTGGATGTTTTCATTTCATAGAGTTATTTCCTAAATTTGCAGTGAAAAGCCTTATGTAAGCACAACAGGTGGGCTGATATCCTGAGCTTGCAGTCTCATCAGATATGGAAGGGAACTGCAACTGAGCCCAGAACAGAAGCTGTTTCAGTCTGTCATCAGAACCATGAAGTCAGCCTATGAACCATCAAGCTAAGCACACAAGATGCCTACACAAGCCCCACTTCAACAGAGACCAAAACAGGAAGTAACTCTAGCTAGAAAGACCTTTTGGCCCATCAAAAACTTATGGGATTAACAGGATTAATCAGATAAAGAAAATTGATCATTCACTCAGAAATGTCTATTTCAGATACCAGGTGAGGATCCGGCACAACCCACGCATTAACAATGCCCTCTACTGGGATGCTGATAAATAAATGTGAATAGACTGTCCAGCTATCAGTCTGATCAGCAGTAAAATGAAAATTTTCATGTTCTTTTCCAGCATTTTATCAATATTGCTTTATTTTATATAGAATAGGTATCAACCCCAGCATTTCTCTGAAGAACTGAAGTGACTTTTCTTCAGTCTGTAATTTATTTAATGGTCAGTATCATACAGTTTAGAATATTTAGTTTATAAAAATTAGCTGAGCAGAACAGATACTTTACCTGGTTGATCGGTCTTGTCATAATACTGGTATATACCAATATCTCTATCTATAGAAAGGAAGAAATAACATTAGATTATGGTAAAAAGTTCTGGAGAATAAGAAGCCAAACCAGATTATATGGCAGGGAGGACAAAAACAGTCTCTTTATGTTACTAGAAATAAAATGATTTAAAAATATCTAGACATGGGTTTACGTATTATAGGGATAATAGAAAGTTTGTCAATCTAATTAGAAAACATTTACACAAAACTAGAATGCCATGAGGAAAGGAATAGTAAAGAACTGACATCAAGGGAAGACTACCTCTTCTCTTTCACACTTCCTCTGATATTTTTCACAGGGTGCTACCAAAAGGGAACTGCCACTATGTAATGCCAAATGAAATCAGTGGGTGGAAGAAAATTGCCCTAACTGTTGAATTCTGAGCTGTGGCTTTCTTTTCTCCTATTTAGCTCAAGACTGGTAGGGTGTTTGGTGGGGAATCTGTAGGAAAGAAAGAAAGAAAGGATTAGAGTAAGGTATGGATAAATTATCTGAAGCTGTTTAGACTATGAAAACCCTCCAAACCCATTCAAAGTCAGATGCTCTGACAGGACTGAAAAAGAAGCAACGCTAGGATTCCTAGATGTTGAGAGTGATTTAATCAAAAGATCTGTTCTTACAGTTTAATTACAGGATAACAAAATAACTGTGATCATTTTCTTCCTATCTGTGGATAGTGAAATTTTTCTTTGAAGTAACATTTGTTTCCTTTCATGCAAAGTAACTCTAGTTACTAACAAAAGGATAGAACTATAAGTGGAAGCAGTACAGGCTGCCCCCTAGTGACCGCTTCAAACTGAACGATGAAACTTCAAAATGTATTACACCTAAAATTAACTTTTTAAATATAGTTTTCAAAAACAGTCAATCATGTATACTTAATGAAGCTCTATTTTATTCATTATGCTACTAACTGGAAATATAAAGAATGCATTTTAGTTCTATTAGACTAAAAATACCTAATAAGAAGTGATTGGGAAAGGTCATAAGTAGGGATCCTAAGACACTGCTAATATTTCATTTCTTCATCTGGGTGATAATTTTATTAATGTGTTCACTTTAGACAGTTCAAAGACAGTTAAAAACAGGTCCTTATAATTTTTATACTTTTAAATACATGTTATACTTTTATAGTACTCCATCATTCCATGCATCCAAATATTTACAACTCTGTATTAGCACTACGAAGAACATAAGGGCCCTGAATTCTGTGCACAAGTCTGACCTGAAGTGGGGTGTCACAATCCAAGCAGGATAAGGAGGGATCCACATTAGGAGACTTCCCAACATGGGATGTCAGAGTCTAAGCTGGATAAGAAAGATGTACACGCAGAGAGTTGGCCTGACATTCTGTGTTAGAACCCTAGCAGGGTGAGAAGGATATTCACATGGGACAGTGGCCCAGTGTGGGGTGCTACAGGCTGAACAAAGTGAGAACATCCACAAATGGCAGGAGCCCAACATGGTGTGTCAGAGTTCATGTGGGTGAGGGCATCCATTCAGCAGACAGAGTGGCCTCAGAGACAGGAGACTGATTGCATACAATGTGATTGATTAAGTTAAGTAAATAAAGATACAGGAGCCCCAGCTCTCCCACCATCTGCAAAAAGATGTATTCTGTACAAATACAGAAAGGGATAAAATTAGAATGAACACTGTTAGATTAGAACTGGAGGTACCAATGTGAATTCATAGGGTTTTTTTTTTAAGATCTTATTTATTTATTTTTAGAGAGAGGGGAAGGAAGGGAGGAAGAGAGGGAAACATCGATGTATGACAGATATATTAATCAGTTGCCTCTTACTCGCCCCCAACTGGGGACGTGGCCCAGAATCCAGGCATGTGCCCTAAGTGGGTATCAAATCAGAGACCTTTCAGCTCACAGGCCAGCACTTAATCCACTGAGCTACACCAGCCAGGACATGGGTTGTTGTTTTTTTTGTTTGTTTTTAATCTGCACCCGAGGACATGTTTATTAATTTGAGAGAGAGAGGAAGCGGGGAGAGAGGGCAGGAGTCAGGGAGGGAGAGGAAGAGAAAGAGAGGGACAGCGGTGGGGAGGGAGTGGTGGACATCGATTGCTTGCCTTCCATATGCACCCTGACCAGGGATAAAACAGCAACCTAGGTATGTACCCTGACTGGGAATTGAACCCACAACCTTTTGGTGTAAGGGATGACACCCCAACCAACTGAACAATCTAGCCAGAGCTGAACTCATGGTTTTCAATATAAAGAGAGAGATATAAAAGTAACTGTGGTTATAAATGTGAGTGTATACATACATATATATATATTCTCTAAGCTCTGCCCGCCAAGGGGGCCTGGGAGCAAAGAACACACGCAAAGCACACCTTGCATTGTTAGAACACACTTCTATTATTCCTCCCTCCACAAAAAAATGTGAAATGCAAAGAATATGAATATAATTAATTGTATGTCTTAGCTGTATGTTTGAAATATTATTTTAATAACAAACAGAAATGCCTTTGCCATTATCTAGCTCACAAATACTTATGAATATAAATCAGTTATTATGAACAAAAAACTCCAGCAAAAATTGAACATGTATGTATTTTAGGAGGAAAAAATATTAGGCCAATAAGATTAGTTTTCACAACAGAAAATCTAACTCAAGATGAAAAATAAGTTAATCAGAGTAACTAAAAGGAATTATTTTCCTTAGCCAACTTTTCACTAAGTAAAAAGAAACTAATGCAACTTCAGCTAGAGAATCTAGGCTCTAACCTTTGTTAGTATTTATTTATAATGTTGTAACTTGTATTTGAAAAATATTGAAATTAATCCAGAGCTCATTTACCCGCAATGTGTAAGGTATTCTTCAAAGACCACAGGTGCAGTTCAGTCAAGCAGAAAGACATCTGATGGCAGAAGGAATCGCTGTCCTGTTTAAAATAATTAAAAAGATGTGCCAATTAATTATCTCCTATTGCCAATAAAACCAAGATCCCTTAAAAATAACAGAAGCATTTGCCACTACTGATATTTAAGATATGGTTCATTAAAATAAACATTTTCATATATCTTTGGTTAGCCATCCAGGAATAAAGTCCAGAAAAAGGAAAAATACGCTTCTTTTCCTATACTTACTATTGTCATCATACTGAGAAATGTGGTAAGAAGAATATATGAGTTTTCAATGACGTCTTTGGTTTTTAAGAGTCTGAGTATCTTTAGAATTATTTAGTATTTAGGCATTTTTAAAAACATTTTTAAGGGAAGGGCACATCTGTTAGCTAGTTCTTAGGTACAAACACATTTTGTGGAATGTTTTTAATGTACAAAGCACATATTACAATCTCTCACAAACAGGCTAATTAAAATAAAATTTTCAAGGTAAATAACATAGGGGTACTATAAGAAACACATTTATTTAGAAGTAAACTATGTGAAAACACATTAGCGTTCAGGTTACTTTGTTATTGTACTCCAACTGCATTAAAAAATGGAACAATAAATAATAAGAACAAAAAATGTACATCCTGAATTTCCTTCCAGTTTCAGTAGCATGGATTAGTGATGGATATTACTGATACTTTTTTAAAAATCAAGGAGAACGTAATCACTTTGGACTGATTTGAAGACGACCAATCTGAATCAGAAAAAAGCAAACATTTTATAAATATTTAAAAAGAATTTATATAACCTTCAAATATCTGCTTGTAAATACATATAGTACCATAGTCTGTGTATATTTTACTACATATTAGAAATACATGTAGTAAACTACCAATACTTTCTTTTTTAGAGATCATAAAAGAATTGTTCTTTCCAATAAACTTCTGAATAATAAAAGAAGCTTAAAAATATTTTAAGACATCTTTTAGATGAAGAAAGAAGCCCTTGGCTTCTTTAACTTTAGCAGTGACAAAAAAATATTTTCTATACTATTCATACCAGTGATAATCCAAAATAATTTCAGACATTAGCACAAAATTCTTGGGCATTTCTTCATCTTTACATTTGACCTCAATGCACTTATAATCATCAAGAAACTTGAACGTTCAATTAATAAGACACACTGTGCTAATTATTAAAATAGCAAAGTGAGCAATGTAGCAGCATAAATAAGAAGGGTCTGAACCAACCTGGAAGAGTGGGCCTCAAGAAAGGTACAGAGAAGTTTTGAAATGTTAGAACCTTAAAGAAGTATTATATTCTAACAACTGTATGATGATGATAACAGATAATACTAAGTACCTACCTCATGACAAACATTGTTCTATACATTTGATATAGAACAATGTATTGATATGTATTAATTCATTTAATTCTCATAGCTACTCTTTGAATTAGCACCATCATTACTTCTATAATGAGGAAACAAAGCACAGATAGGTCACATAGCCAGAAGGTAATGGAGACAGGCTTTGAATCTAAGCAGACTGGCTCCAGAGTCTGAGCTCACAACCACAGCACTCTCCCTCATCTGGCTCTACAGAGGTATGGGAGGGAGAGTGTGCAGTCCTTTGAGTAAAAGAAAGACAAGTCCCAGGGATGGTGGTAGATCAAGACACATGATGAAAAGTGACAGACAAATTAAGTTGAAAAGGGTAGAAATAAAGAGGCTATATATAATAATAATAGTAAGTTTTGAGTTGATACGAAGTCATCCTTTTCCTTATACTAAAGTGCCTTAGAAGTTAGAGATAAAACAAAGGCTCTTTCAGTCCCCAGATCTGCTCTCCTCTAACCAGAAGCTAGCTGCCACTGTACACAGGCAGGGGGTAAGAGAGCAAGTGGACTGTATTACTATGAAAGAGGACACAGTTCCTTATTAGCAGGAAACAGGGAAAAAGAGATATTAAACAACTTAAAATTTTTCATTTCAGCTGAGTATTACCTTTCATAGTTGTCACCTATGACTCTAATGAGCCTACTGTTACCAAAAATATTTCTGAAGCTTGGTTCTTAGGAAATGTTTTAAACAGTTTTATGAGGCTCTTTTCAGAATTATTACATTATAGTTATGCTTAAACTAAAATACTTCCTATATGAAAATATGTAAACTGTACATTTTCATTGGGATTGGTAAAGCCTAGATGCTTATTTAGTCAGTTCATTAAGTAAATATTTATTTTGCATTTATTAAGCTTGGTGTGTAGATTCAAGACTCTAAGAGGCTGATCTCTTATTCTATTCAATAACTTCTCAGCTTACTAGCTAACTTGGACAAATTACTTATCTTCTCTAAGTTCTCCCAGCTATAAAATCGGTATAACGATGTACCTACCTCAGAATTGTATTAAGGGTACCATTATTCAGTTTACTTTATTGTTGCTGTTTTTGGTGCTGCTGCTATTATTACTCAATATGTCTAGCACTATGTACATTTATATGGAAAAAATGAAAATGTATTAAATATGATCTCTCATTTTATATACTTATTTCACAATGTGAAATGAATGAATAACTACTAAGTACAATAGGATTTTTATTAAGGAAAAACATCTGTAGGTGGAGAAGTTTCTACATAAAAGGAAGTATTTGAATTGGGACATGCAAATGGGTTTATATTTCAATGGGATAGTAAAGAAAGGAAGTAATGAAACAGGTGCAGACTTCCTCCAATATTCAGCATCAAAAGTCGCAACTTCTAGACTATACTAAAAAATAAAAACTCACATTAATCAATGTAATGCTTATTCAAATACCAATAATTAGAATTTATGACAATTTTGGCAAAGACGAAGCTGAAGTTTAGCTGTTAGTAGCTACATAAAAAGATTTTATCATGCAAATTAAATACAGATAAAGTTTTATAAGTGAAACCAAAAGGGCAATACCTTTATTTACATTCAAAAGAAGACTTCACATGAAATTATATATTTCAGTTTATGTCAATTCAATAATAAAGAAGTGGTCAAAACTTTCCCGATAACAGAAATGAAAAGTGAAGAATAATTTTCTTTGTAATCCACGTGGGCTATTTCTAAGAGGCAGGAATGCTTTTAACTAGAATACCCATAGGTCTATTATCCATATCTTTACTAAATTTTAAAATTCTAAACCACTCAAAAATCATGCAGTTTGGGGGGAAATAAGCAAAATGAGGTCCATGGAGAGCTTCAAATGTCAAGTGCAAAGTCCTTGACCCTCTGTATCTGGACATAAGGGGAAATCCTGAGAATAGTATAGTGTAGAGTCTATAATTTGTACTTGCCTTCCTGCTTAAGACCTAAAAATTCACATCTGGTTCCAATGTAGGTGAGAAAAATGTACAGGCTAGTTATCAAAATGTCTGATGTACAAAAAACACTGTACTACTTCCCACTAAAAAGTAAAGGACAAAACAGGGAGAGAGATATTTTACTTTACAAAGAACTTTATGGCCCCAGAGGGAATATTTTGTTAGTGGACCTCAGAATAGTGGACTCATTGAGAGTGGTGTTATTCAGTCAAAATGGGATCCACACTCAGCAAAAGTAGACATGGTAGCCAAGGAGTAACCTATACACCTGAAGAAATAGCGACAATAATCAGTTGATAAAGCAAGCCTCCAATGCTCTAAATTTTCTTTGCAGCCACTTACCCTGGGCTCCAGCAGAGAGAAGGCAGAGTGGAATGGAGACACTAGAGGAGAGTCTGGGGTTGGTAGCTCTGGGGAGAGAACTGAAAGAACAGTCCCAAGGATCCCTGTGCTGAATCATTCCCCACACAACAGAGCATTCCACTCTGAATGGAACCAGCCTGAGGGGAAGCAGTAGCCCTGTCGCAGGAATCACGTTGCCCTACCCTGTGGTGCTTAAGCCAGGCTGCTGATTATAGCTTGAGGATATATCACAGATTAAGTTTAACTACTAAGGCAGAACTCTGGGAGTTCTATGAGACTTTGGCTGACCCTCTCTGAGACCTGGTGCATCTGATAAAAGCTGAACTTGGTGTGTAGCCTGATTCTTTCTGTACACAAACAGGCTCAGCAGAGGGAGCCACGTATTGTGGATCACTAATAGCTTCAAACAGATTGACCAGGGCAAATCACAAGCAGCATCTGACAAAGGCCTACACCAGAGTCTTTGCAGATCTATCTAATACATAGAAACAAACACAAAGCAGCAGCCAAAAAGGGGAAGACAAACAGACCCCAAATGAAAGAACAAGAGAATTGTCCAGAAGAGCTAGATGAAATGGAGGAAAGCAATTTATTAGAGAGTTTAGAGTAATGATTATAAGGATACTCAACAGAATGAAAAAAGACATAGAAACCATAAAAGAAGACCAGTCAGAAATAAAGAATGCAATATCTGAAATAACTAATACTCTGGAAGGAATAACAGTAGGTTAGATGAAGCAGAGGATCAAATCAGTGATTTGGAAGACAAGGTAGGAAAAAACACCCAAGAAAAGGACGGGGGGAAAAGAATTTAAAAAAAAATGAGAGCTTAAGAAACATTTTGGACAATAGGAAGCATAACAACATCCGCATTGTGGAAATAGCAGAAGGAGAAGAGAGCGATAAAGGGATCGAGAACCTATTTGAAGAAAAAACAAGCAAAAACTTCCTTAATCTAGTGAAGTAAAAAGACACACTAGTCCAGGAAGTCAGAGAGTCCCAAACAAGTTAGACCCAAAGAGTCCTACACTGAGACACATCATAATTAACATGACAAGGCTTAAAGACAAGGGGAGAATCCTAAGAACCAGAAGAGAAAGGTAGGTAGTTACCTACAAGGAAGTACCAATTAGACTGTCATCTGATTACTCAACAGAAACATTTCAGGCCAGAAGGGAGCAGCATCAAAGACTCAAGGTGATGAAAAACAAGGACCTACAACCAAGGCCACTTTACCCAGACAGGCTATCATTTAAAATTGAAGGAGAAATAAGGCACTGCCCAAACAAGAAAAAGCTAAAGGAGTTTGTTAACACCAAATCAGTACCATAA